GATTGCTTATTTCATGAGTTTTCAGTGTTCTTTTACTTTATCGTCAGTGTGCGTTTTGTCATGCCACTGTCTCAGCTGCGAATTATCTTCGGGTTTTCTTGACCGATGTGGTTTAAACATGCTCACCTTTTTCGTTTCCTTCCGTTGATAAACATTTTGCCCGATGAAGTCTTCTGTTTAGCTCGGTTAATAGAGCTTTTCACAATAACGTCCCAATAAGGGATTGTTGGGCCTCCGCGGGTTTTGCCATAAGCATTGGGCGAATGTCTAAGAAATTCACTTTCTGGAGAGGTTCGAGCTGTTTCCTCACCTTTTCTTTCAGTTGCACCTGAGAAGCTTCTGACCCTCAACGAATGTTGAGCTCAACTCTGAACATGCAAATGAAGCGATTTTTTGAGGGGTTTGGGCGCTAGTAGGGGCTTTCAAAAGGGGTACAATTTCGTAACGTCCCAAGTTTCAACAAAAGCACGTATCCCGTTTAGTTGGTGTGCAGTAATTGGACCATGTAGTTCGGTCAGAGACAGGGAGGAGTATCATTTCCGCGGCTCGGAAATGCGCCATAACAATGCCACCCGTCCATGGCGAATGTGATGCCCCTCCCACTTCCCCATGCCTCACCCAACAGTCTTTCAAAGGCTTCCTGATGGTGCAGTTGCAGCTTCCACTACTAGTTCTTCAATTCCGAATGATCGTGGGAAGTCCTTTCAGCAGGAATCAACGAAAGTGCTCCTCTCGCTATCGACTATCGCCAACGCTTCCTTGACCGAGCACACCCTGTTGTGGAGAGAATTTTCTTGTAAAATACGACCCCATCGAAACCTCCCTCCTCTGGTACGAGTCCCCGGAGCTGGGAGGGGGCTTCGTGAAGTAGGAAAGGGCATACGATCCCGCTCTTCTCCAGCGACCAATACGACCCTTACGACGGCGATTCGTGAACACGTACCGACGTGGCCTATTCCTAAGTGAAGTGAGCAGGGCTTCAGATTTACTACATAGTAAGTGAATTTTTGTGAAATCTGCCCTTGCAGGTGAATTCCCTGCATGGAAGAGAACCGAAAGCGGCAATATTGCCAGTGAGAAGGTTGGGAAGGATGAGTTTCTCTTTTCTCATCCAATATTGCATGCTATTCTTGTTATTTCTTTTCCTTTTTTTCAAGGAATCAAATTATTTTTTTAAAAACATATTCTACGAGGTGTGAGCGGAGTTCGTGGTAGCACTGGTCATACGGATCTGGTTAACTCCTTCTTTACCTGTCATGACACGTCAGACAAATATCTTGACACACCAACTTGTTAGCGTTCCATGACTTCCGTATAAGGCTGCGTTCATACTTCTCGTCGACTCTTGAGCGTTTCGAGCATTTTGGGGAAAGAGGAAGAGTAAAGGTATCGATTGGCGCTCAGAACGCTGTGTTATGCTTTTCTTTTTGCCTAAAACCTAGGCGAAAAGTATGAACGTGGCCTGACCCATGGGTTCCACGAATTACTGTAGCACCCAAAGCCGCACTTGAAGTGTGCAAATTCAGTTCATTCTTCATACAGTGTAGTTCGCTGCGGACGGTTGGGCGTGTCAGGCGGGATGAGTTTGGCGCGGTGCCAAACCGTTCTCCACCAGTTGTTAAAGCGAGCAAATGATATGACTGTATCATATCGTTCGTATTACTCGTTTTCTACCACTTTTTGTCGCATGCGCGCTTCAACAAGAAGGCAGAGAACGGCTTTGACGGGGTGACACACTCATACTGCCTGACACGCCCAACCGTCCGCAGCGAACTAGGGTATAACTCGTCATCAGTGTGGTGCTTTTTTCGGTCCATTGAGGTGTTGTCGTGAACTTCACGTTATATCATGCGAGAACGTATCTCTTTTTGCTGCAGATGGATCGAGGCGCCAACTGTTCGTCGTCGGAAACCGACAGCACTTCTGATCGTTTTTATGCTCAATTCAATAGTACTGCTCTGCTCTCACTGGACGAATCATCCGATCCCTGTTCAGGTAACCGGAGTAAGAAACCTGGTAGGTTTCTCCTGTCTTCGAACAACTCGCCAGACGATTGTGGTTCGCGTTACGGGTCATCGCACATGGGCGGGGCTAGGGTATCGTTTGCTGTTGGGATGCAGAGACAGGTGATTTTGGGCGCGCGGTGAACAAGTCCTCCTGTCGCCCATCTGAATTTGAGATTTAAAGGGACGGTGAACTTCGATATCGCTTGTCATGAAGTCTTATCTCCCCCTGAATTCATACTCGTTTCTTAGATCCAATGGAAAAACTCATTCATATCGAGAACGCGCATTGAGCACCATATGCCGCGCGCGGCGACGCGGCGAATCACGATTGTCTTGTCCACTCTCATTAAATTATGAGGTTCTCGTATTAGATAGCCTACATAAAGCCGTAAGTTGGTTTTCAGACTTGAAGCTCTCGCCAATTCTGCATGACAGCGATCGACGAACAGTTTTCAGTAAGCGAGTAATTAGGTTCAAATGTCGTGGCGAGAGTCCCTTAGTAAGGAATAGTTATGTGGAATCGCATCATCAACTCGACGAAATTTCGGAGATTCGATGTGAAAAAGTGAGAAAACTTTTTTCTACAAAGTTTATGTGTCCGGTGATTTTTTTTCTTCCAAGGATGATGAATCGAATGGGCTTTCAAACTCTGACAATCCTGCCTTTGAATCGAGTGAAATGGACAAGGAAAACGAAGCGCCAGGAACCTCGACCCCTGAGAGGTTAGTCCTAGTTGATTGTGCTAGTTTTTGGGTACTTCTATAAAGGCTTGCGACTTTGAATTCCTGTTAAAAATCAACAATCAGTGTTTTTAAGGGGAGGGCAATTTCTTTTGGTTTTTCCAACAGTTTCCATGCCGCTCTTTGTTGAAACCGAGGTATGTTTCCGAACTATGGACCCCTTGAGGGGGGGGTAGACTTGTGAGCGCTTGTCAGCATACGAAATCCTGCAAAATGTCTAAACATGGCTACTGAACCTAAATACTTTCTAAGTTTGTTTTCACTTGTCAAGCATCCTGTAAACATTCATACTTGTCAAGACGACTGATCAAACTTTGAATGAAACAGGAAAAAAAACAAAGGTCAAATCATACATTGGGAAAAAGGTCTTCTTCTCAAGGTTATCAGCGCTGAAATTTCAGTAAGACCACTTTCTTACCTCCCCCCCCCCTTCCAAATTTCTGTCCGTACGACCGTACATCGATCATCATCTCTTACGTTGCGGCTCCTTTTATCCTTTCTACAGTTTAATTCGCAGCGAACGAAGGGGCATGTCAGGCGGGATGAGTTTACGCGATGCCAAATCCGATCTCTACCAGTTGTTTAAGCGAGCAGGTCACAAGGCTGTATCATATCGTTCGTATCAGTTTTGTCCGCTGTTGTCGCATACCCGCTCCAGAACTGGATTTGCACGGTAGCATTTCATACTGCTTGACACGCCCCCTCGTCCGCAGCGAATGAGGGTATATCTTCCCTTTCCCAAATGCTTAATGATTATTTTTCGTAATTTTGCCCCACATTTGCCCTCACTAGCAAGAGGGAATTCAGCAATCGGAAAACAATTCTTTCGTGGCACATACGACCCGTGACCGGATGCCATGCCTCATAGCTTTTGCATTATTCCAGAGCATTATTAGCATATTTATTAGCAT